CAATATTTGTAGAAGGCAGTATTTAATACTACTGAAATGACTGTAAATTTAGAACATTGAACAGCAAAAGCTGTAGCATCTACAAATAATTAATCTTGCACAGCTTTTAAGTCAACCATTTAAGCAAGAGAAGCAACAGCAGCTAAATTCAATGACAATAGAGAAAGATATTGCATCCACAAGCAGATTTAAAATCAAAAATACTACAGATGGGGAATTAAACTGGACTACATGGAAAGCACAATTTACGAAAATGGCTGTAGGATCACAGAAGAAATCCAGAGAAGAACAAGTGAAAATACTTGTTATTTCGTAGGTCTGATAGCAGGTAGTGTTTTAAAATAGCAGAATGTAAGAGAAGAAGCAGTGTCCTTTGATAATATTGTAACAGGTATAAAGTAACTAGCTATTAAGTACAATATAATAAACCTCTTTTGTTTATCGAGACTGAGCTGTCTTCTGTCGAGAGCTGAGGTGGCAATCCATCCCCATTTGGTATCAGTAACTAAAACTAAGAACAAGAAGGAGGATTGGTGGCAGTACATCTATCAGAGCATTTTGCATCATTCTAATGGACATGACCGCAACATATAATAAGGTTGTGATTGCATTGAAGGGGGTGCAGAGAAGACTCACCAGGATATTTCCTGGATAGAGCAGTTTAGCTATGAAGAGAGGCTCGACAAACTCAGGGTTTTTTTAAATTTGGAGCAGAGAAGTCTGAGGAGGGACCTGATAGAGGTTGTATAAGATTATGAGGGCCATGGACAAGGTGGATAGAAAGCAGTTGTTCCCACTAGTCGAAGGGTCAATAACAAAGGGGACATAATTTTAGTTTGAAAGTCAGGAGGTTTAGAGGAAACTTGAGGATTTTTTTTTTAACCCAGAGGGTGGGAGGGGTCTGGAATGCACTGCCTGGAAGGGTAGTGGAGATGGGTAACTTCACAATCTTTAAGAAGGACTTGGATGTGCACTTGCGGTGTCCTAACATTCAAGGCAATGTGCCCAGCCCTAGAAGGTGGGACACGTGTAGATGCAGTGTATTTTTGGTGGCACAGACTTGGTGGACTAAAGGACCTCTTCTGTACTGTATGATGGCAGTGTTGGTATCTGAACACACACTAGCATCTAATGTTCGTGCAGTACTAGTATTCGGGTTGAGAGTTGCAACAGTCAGAGTGTTGGGGACGCGTCATCACTGTTGCTGTTCCTCATACATCGGACTGCACTGATGCTGAAATGCTAGCAGCTCCTTTTTACCGTAAAGTATATATGAAGAAAGGGAGAGTGGGAGTGAGGGAAGGGGGAAAGAGAGGAAGGCAGACAGTCCACCTTTGCATTATCTGCAGCTTCCACTTCATGCCACGTTCATCCATCGCAGGATGACAATGAGGGTGAGGGTGAGTGCTGAGCTGCGATGAGACATGTACATTGTGCTGGATTGTCATGGAGCTGCATTGTGATTGGTGCACTGATGAAGGGCACTATGTCTTCAAGGATGCTTCAGATGGAGTTGTACAGGGTCTGACAATTCTCTCTGTTGCGCTGGTGATATCGAAGATTGAGGCAATAGCCTCAGTGATTGAAATGCACAGAGCTCAAGTGATGTGGCTACCACTGCTGACCAGCTGGAGCCCTCTGACGGCACAGAGAGATGGATGTGAGACTGGTGGTGTGTCTAATTTAGATGAGGTACCTAAACAAAAACCAAAAGTGCATCAGAGAAGTCATCAACTTGAAACGTTGTGCATAATCTGCCGCTCTCACTGGTGGAAAGCTTGCAGGTGGGAAGGGCATTTAATGAGGTGGGGTAGTGGTGTACTTGAAGCCCACCTCCTTCCCTCCTGCATCTGAATTAATTTCAGGTCTGGAGTACCCATGGGTGACCCATCTGCCTTGCCATCAGTTAACTGGTCAACCAGTGTCCTCTTGAACGCTTCATCCTACCACCACTGTGACTAACCCAGGAGCAAGCTAGACCTGTCAGCGTGCAAACATGAATAACATTTTCCCACTTGTTCGGCACTATCCCCAAAATGCCCCCCCACAAAACTGCCCCTTGATCAGAAGCAGTTAGGTCCTGGTCAAGGAACTAGAGGGACATCATGAAGGAAACAGGTCAAATAAGAGCCACTCCCATGTGTTCCCCCTCCCATCCTCTGCTGCCTTTCCCCACAGCCTCACCTGAACCTGGCTGACTGGCCCAGTGACTGCAATGTCATTTATCTTCGTCTGAGGGCAGAACTTGCTGCTTCTTCTGAACACACACAGTTCCGTTAGTGAGCAACCTCAAAAATATAAGCCTCATTTTGAATGATTAGAAGAGATCTTAAGCAGAAGAAAGGGCAAAGAATGACTCCCTTCAATTAACTTTCTTAAATTTCACCTTTTCCTTTTTTTGTAATATAGTTAAATTACACAGTATCACACACTCACCATTTCAACCTGTTCTAACCATTCTCATTGTACTCATTCACTCTGTTATAAATTCACTGTTCTGTATTCTCAGCCTTAGCTGAGCTGATGCTGTATCATTCCATAATTTACCCTGCAGAAACAAGTAGTGTCAACTCACAGCTACGTCGTATCTGATCAAAATTTCATAAAATCCGAAAGAACTGTGGATGCTGTAAAAAGTTCTGAGGAAGGGTCACCGGACCTGAAACATTAACTCTAATTTCTTCTTCACAGATGCTGCCAGACCTGCTGAGCTTTCCCAGCAACTTCTGTTTTTGTGTCTGATTAAAATTTGTTCAGTTATGCATCTATGGTTGACTGACAGTAAGTCTATCGCCTCTATGAATAGAACGTTGGATTACAATCAGTCTAAAAGGGAAGGAAATGCTTCAGCTGGAGATTACAGCAAGGATGGCTGAAACATTCCGGTTTCTATTACATTTAAATGAGATAATCTCTTATTCTTCTAAGTTTAAGGATTTGAGCTCTTTCTACTCAATATCACTTCATTGATTATTGCAGGAATCAATCTAGTGAAGCATTACTCCATCTCTTCTGAGGTTTAATCCTTAGAAAAAGAGTCCAAAACTAATTAGAGATAGTAGGAACTGCCGATGCTGAAGAATCTGAGATAACACGGTGTAGAGCTGGATGAACACAGCAGGCCAAGCAGCATCAGAGAAGCAGGAAAGCTGACATTTTAGGTCTGGACCCTTCTCCCAGACCCAAAATATCAGCTTTCCTGCTCCTCTGATGCTGCTTGGCCTGCTGTGTTCATCCAGCTCTACATCTTGTTATCCCAAAACTAATTAGATTTCTGCCTTCTGCAGGAGCCTCGTTAATATTTTGATTTTAGTATGTTAAACTTTAAAGGGACCTGGAAATGATCACAGTAGCTATGAATGAAATGATTTACTCCTGGATTTATTTTGTGTTACATGTTCAACAAATGTGGAATTTGAAACAAATTTTGAAAGTAATGTCATCTAGATAAGGAAGAAGAGGCAGGCCAGAATAGATCTTTTGGGGATCCAGAGATAGCAGTTCTATGATGTATAGTATGGCCGTTACTTGAGGTGCTTTGGCTGTAACTTAATAGTTACATTGGATACATAAATTATGGACAGTTTTCTTTTGCATGAGTAGTAATAGAATTGAGAGTCATAATTCAAGTCAAGATGCAGTAATATACAAATATCAGCATGCAGCCCAAGGGGTAAAGACTTGTTCAGTGAATATTATTTTAAGCTGCATTCAGTGCAAAGTTTCCTTTAAGCTTTGCATAAAGAAACATAACCAAGTGTAAGATGCTATCCCAAGGACATTCATTATAAAATGTGTAAGTTTTTTTAAGATTGTATGAGTAGCAAAGAATTTTAATTGTAAACATGTATAAAGTAATGGTGGATTCTCATTCCTTGATTAACCTGAAAAGTTTTCTGAAAGTTCCACTGCACTATTTCCAAATGCATGGTATGAAAGAGCTGTCACTAACCTTGGCACAAACCTCTGTCTAGTACAGAACTCCAAACCGACTTTTTTGGGAGTTTCTGCAGAGCACCAAAGACAGCCTCCCTCAATTGGATCTCTTCTGCTGGGAAAATCTCAATGTGCTAGAAACCCAGTTGGTTCCATGGTCAACTGCACTCTTTGTAATCCTGCTTCCAGCTTTTCAACAAAATGAAAGGCTGCTTCTTAAAGCTGGGGAAACAAAATATGTGCATTACATCATCAGTAGAGACAGACAAGGTGCAGTCACTCCCAAAGGGGCTCATTACCAACAGCCTTACTTTGGTTGCCAAGCACGCTTTACATTTCAAGCAAAGCTCTTCTCTAATACTTTGATGTTGAGGATTATTTACATCAATCTTTAGCTCAGTGATCAACATCAAGACTTTACAGTGTTGTCAAACCAGTATTTTGATATTAGAGCAACGTTAAGAGAAATGTAACCAGTTTAGTAAGATTGTTTTTTCAAGGTGGTTTACCATCTGAATTTGGATTAACCATTTATTCTGCAAACATTCTGTGTACCAAAATTCTTAATTCGTGGATCGAATCATTGAAGTTGTGGAAAGACTTACAACACTGTAAGTGAATTCCTGTTACATCAATAGCCATACTGAGTGATTACACATGTCTATAGGACTCCAAGTACTGTTCTATCAATTATAATTTCTCTTGCATCCAGAATCATTTGTCACACTCTTGAATTGGGTATAAAAATTTCCTGTACTGCATAATGCATAAACGAGTGTTCAACTGGTCTGTTGTGTAACGAGAAGACATTGTACCCTAATTATATCACCTGACTGAGTTTGTCAAATGTCACAACTTTAAACAGACTAAGTTATTATAGCTGCTTGAAGTTCACATTTTACAAACAATCTACTCACTTGTCTTGCAAATTCAAAATAAAGTAACTGAGACACCCATGATTGAGGACAGATGATCACAAAAATTGAAGTTAATTGTGCTAACTCTCAATGTGGTGCGATTCTTAATCAGAAGAACTTACTTTCCTTTTCTTAAATAATACCCAGGCTCTGGTGAAGGTCAATGCAAAACTGAAGCCAATGCTACATGGGATTAAAAGAAACAGGTGCAAGTGGGAGGAGATGCACCGAAAAAGACAAGGGAGCAAAGACAACGGCAGCTGCAGTATATCCACGCAGGACATCAGTTAAAACCCCAGGCATCGGCTTGTGAGGATCAGCTTGACTTGGCCATAATTCAACTGGATCAAAAATTCTTCAGTTGTGATTTGCAAGGGTGATTGGCACAGCTGAAATCCCCACTGAGTTGCTGCAGGATGCAGCATCCCTTTGCTCCCAATTGAGAGAGAGAAAACAATAAATAAGTAATGCAATGCAACTATCCAGTTGAATGCTTCCATCTGAAAAAAAACTGTTAGGAAGTGCAGAAAGTTTCTTCAGTGGTGCACAGATAATGTAGCTTCATCCAGCGGTACTAGTTGCTAAGGGTTTGCTGTCTTCTGCAAAAAAGTATGAACATGATAAGCAGGTTTAATGAACATCTATTATTTAAACACCAGGATAGAGGACTGGAGTTTTCTGTGCATCCTTTGTTATTCTGCATCAGCCAAATCTGCTATAAGCCAGTTATTGCCTGCCTCTATGTTCTCGTAATGCTGGAATGTTCTTGTGGTATTGTTTTCTATTTTGCAGATACTTTTCTGAAAAGTTTTCTATTTAATTCTTCTCAATGTGAGGATGCGTCGAAATCAGTTCTCTGTAGTGAAGAAAATGTGAATGATAAATGTATGGAGGCAAAACCCTTTTACATGCAATCTTTGGCAGGTGGAGCTGTGGTGGTTAGGAAGTATCTGTAAGAGAATGTGAGAACACAGCTTTGCTTTTTGCTAAAAGCAAGACCATTTTTACATCAGTCGTGGTTGAAGTTGTATGTTAAACAGAATGCATAAGGAAGCAAATCAAATCGGAGCTGTACAATTAGCAGGCATGGGATTTTGTCAGCATGAAAAATTCATACCAAACAACAAAGATCCTTCAGCTCCATGTGACTTTTCTCACAGCTAAAGAGTCAGAGGGATCACTACCAGGGTAGAAACTGAACTGGCTACTTATGCCTATAAGTTGCCACGCTTGATTTTAAGAACTCTGCACGCATTTCACATTTGCAAAATGTGGGAAAACATTTGCAAGATTATTAAACCTATTTTTGTGAGGAGGCCATGATTGATTATTTGTTTTGGAGTTATGAACATATTGATTTCCATCATCCCTGCACTATCTATTTGTTGTTGCAAATACGTTTTTGAAGGTACTACCTTTTCACTTTTCCCAATGAGATCTGATTACCAATCAGATTCCTTCTAAGAATACTATTAATCTTCATGATTCTGAGAACAGAATGGAATTGATTATCAGCTAACATTCGTAACAATTGCCTAAACAGTGACCCTCGATGGGTTCCCAAAGTCTGCTGATTTGGTAGCACTTCCCCAAATCCCCTCTCTGGGTTTTGTGTGCAAGAAATAAGGCTAAGACTACAATGTGGTCTTGAGGCAGAGATGCCATCTAGGCTCTGTTTGCCTGCTCGAGTATGTACAAAGAATCTCATTTTAAAGATGAGTCCTAGCTAATATTTGCCTCTCATTAAAATTATTTAAAATTTGATGATTATCACATTGCTATTATAGAGATTTACTGTGCACGAACTGAATGCCACGTTTCCTACATTACCACAATTACCACTTTACTACCTTTAAAGTACTTTGAGATGTCTGGTGATCATGAAAGACATTATTTAAATGCAGGCCTTTCTTTCTTACTGTAGCAGTTCAAAACATAAACCCATTCTTTAAAGAACCCACCCACAACTAGACACCTTATCTAGTCCAGCATGTGCATCTACATTTATAATCCCTTTCTACATAACCCTCATTCTACCGTCAGAAAGCTTTAACATTTGAATTATTATTTTAATGTCATCTGATATGATTTTAATTCTGTTTCTTACCTCGTTTATTTGTTTTGATTAACTCCTGATAATATGTAACACTAGACAAATAAGAGGCCAGCTATGAAGAATACAAAAATCATCAAAACCTGAAATATCCCATCCCCAGATCTTTAACCTATTTTTCTAATCAACCTGTTCAGAGATGTTATTACACACCTCTGGAGCAAGTGGGACTTGAACCCACGTCTCTTGGTCCGGCGGTAGGGACACTACCACAGAATACATGATACAGATCTTTAAATCCACAAGAATCAACAAGTATATAATGGTACAAATTAGGACGTTTGCTGGACTCTGTATTGTCAGTGATCAAATGATTAATGTTAAATTCCCCAATTTTCTTTTGTTAAAGATAATAAAAGATGATATTGAAACCAAAACTGAAAAGAAGTGTCTCTTTTATTAATTAAATGTGTTACATATGTTTGTAAGTTAATTTCCATTTTATTGTATCTTCTGCCTTTTATGGCGCAATCTTAATGGACAAAAGTCTTTGGTTTGTATATTTTCAAATAATGATTCTGGTGCAGTAGTACCTCAGTTGCAAGGCTGTGCACATAGCCAGGAAAACAAGCCCAAACACAGTAATAGATTTGACGAATTCATCATCTAAAATTAGGAATTCCTTGTTAACCTTGCGGTTTATTTGTGTCTACTGTTTCTAGCAGGAAAACTGGAAAAACTGTTTCAATACTGACTCCTACTGGAAGGGAAAAGTATCACAAAGGGGAGCAGCCACACTTGGCACAATTCTTCAGTGTGTGGAACGTAAAAAATTTGATCCTTTGGCCATTCCCTTTCAAGCAATTGCACCTTCATCTTTCTGTCTGAGGAAAATGTCCACATTAGAATTATTGAAACATGGCATAAATATTTCCCTATTTAAGAATGCACTGTTTCAGGAAGGAATCAATCCTCTTTTTCCCCGAGAAAATGCTTTATCTATAATATTTTCCTTAGTATTTTCTTTTCTGCATACTCTGCATTTACTTAATGCTATTTTCTTTACTCAATGTCTGTTCATGAGATCGTTAAATAAATGGCTAACACATTTTCATGTTCATTAAATTGAATATTCAACAGGCTTGATTGGGTTTGAGTTAAAAGGACAGGCTGGATAAGCTGGGACTTTTTCACTGGACTTCGGAGGTTGAGGAGTGACCTTTTCAAAGTTTATAAAATCATGAGGGGCTTTGAAAAGATGAATAGCAAAGGTGTTTTCCCTAGGGACAGGAAGTTAAAAACTAGGCGGCATAATTTTAAGCTGAGAGGAAAAAGATTTAAATGGGAGCTGAAGGGCAATGTTTTCACACACAGGGTGGTTTGTATGTGGAAAGAGCTGCCAAAGGAAGTGGTAGATGCAGGTACACTTACAACATATAAAAAACATTTGGACAGGTACATGAATAGGAAAGGTTTGGATGGATATGGGCCAAACACAGGCAAATGGGACTAATTTAAGTTGGGAAACCTGGTCGGCCCATTGATGAGTTGTCCCGAAAGGTCTGTTTTGGTGCTTTATGACTCTATGACTCTGATGTGCATATGGACTTCCATAGAACCATAGAAATGATACAACGCAGAATGGGACCATTCAGCCCATCTTGCCAATGCCAACCCAAACACACGCAGAATCCCTTTCTAATCCCTTTGTCCTGCACACAGCCCACAGCCCTTTAGCTTACACCACTTTGGGTGCAGATCCAGGTACTTTTTAAAAGAGTTTACGGTCTCTGCCTCCACCATCAAGTCAGGCAGCAAATTCCAGGCACCCACCACCCACTGCATAAAATAATTTTTCTTCATGTCCCCTCTAATCCTTCTGCCACTGCACTACCCTCATTGATCTTGCTTGTCACTTCCTCAAAGAATCCAATTAAATTTGTAAGGCATGACCTTAACAAAACCATGCTGAGTATTCCTGACTAGTCGATGCCTTTCTAAGTAAGAGTTTATCCGATCTCACAGGATTGATTCTAACAATTTGCACACCACCGAAGTAAAACTAAATGGCCTACAATTGCTTGGCATTTCTTTTGTACCTATCTTAAAAAATAGAACCACATTTGAATTCCTCCAGCACCTTAAGTGTGTCTAGTGAAGATTGGAAAATAATCCTCAGAGCATCTACTATTTCCTTCCTCACCTCATTCAATATCCTAGGGAGCAATCCGTCTGGCCCTGGTGACTTATTCACTTTCGAGAATTCCAACTTCTCCAACACTTCCTGTCTCGTTATGATTATTTGTCCAATACTTCACACAGCTTCTCTTGAATTACTATATCCACATCATTCCTTTCCTTTATGAATACAGAGACAAAAAAATCATTTAAAATTCTTCCCATAACCTTTGTATCTTCACACTAGTTCCATTCTTCATCTCTGATAAATCTCACTTTTTTTAACTATCCTTTTTGCTCTTGATATATTGATAAAATATCTTCCAAAAGGCATTTGACAAAAGGTTATATTACAGGCTTGTCAAAAACATTGAAGCTCATGGAAATAAAATAGCAGTATGATTGCAAAATAGTCTAATTGGAAGGAGAAAGAGAGTAGTAGGAAATGGTTATTTTTCATACTGGAGGGAGGTATACAATTGCACTCTAAGTGGGTGGTTACTAGCATCACTCCTTTTGAAATATATATTATCGCTTTGGACTTAGCTATGCAGCGCAATATTCTGAAACTTGCACAAGACACAAACTTGAAATTGCAATAATCATACCAGTCACCAGGGCCAGACGGATTGCTCCCTAGGATATTGAAGGAGGTGAGGGAGGAAATAGTAGATGCTCTGAGGATTATTTTCCAGTCTTCACTAGACACAGGTAAGGTGCTGGAGGAATGCAAATGTGGTTCTATTTTTTAATCATACCAGGCGAATGTGTGGCACTTGAAATTTAATGGAAAGAAGTGTGATGTAATACATATTTGTAGGAAATGCAATAAAGTCACCATAGTCTTACCTGCTCTCTCATTAGACCTGAGATGACTGGTGATGGTTTAACCTGAGGGTCACCACGCCTCAGGTGAGGGAGAAGCTTAGAAGGAGAGTCCTTCATAGTAACCTCAGCCAGTGCAGGAATTGAATGCACCCTGTTAGCATCACTGCATTTGCAAACTAGCCATCAAGCCCATGGAGCTAACCAACTCCCTAAATAATTGAATAACTATAAAATAATGAATACAATTCTAAAATAGGTGACGGAACAGAAAGAACTGGGGTATGAGTGCACAAATCGTTGAAGATGGCAAGGAAAGTTGAGAAAATCATGGGAAAGGCATACAGGACCTTGGACATTATCAACAGGGAGATAAAGCACAGATGTTATGGAGTCTGGTCTGTCTGCACTTGGGAAATGACTGGCAAAATGCACCCCTGTGACTTTACAGGGAATTTCTGTCCTTTCACACAGGGTCTGGTTAGCAGTGCATGCTTTAAGCTGCGAGGACTGTGGGAGCCGAAGCAGGTTTAGAGGTCTCCAATATTTCTAACCAGCTTCCAACATCATTTAAATTTCCCCAAACCTTCCATCCTAAAATTTCTCATGCCACCCCTCAGTCCTTCATGCCTCATACTCTCCCCATGAACTAAAGGATGGCAGCAGAGGACATTTTTTGTTATATTTGCTTAATAATTTAGAGTACTTCCTCTTTTGGAAAATTATTGTAATGTTTGTGAATCATTACACAATGCTGGTTGGTGTACGGTCTGCCTACCTTTACAGACTGATGTCTAAGATAAATCACAGCATTAACATACATGTGCATTGCAATACAGCAACCAATAGTGACGACTGAAGATGTGAAAATACACTTGACTTTCAGATTGGTCGCAATTCCTCAGCAAGCTTTCCACTTTCTTCATGAACTATCAACTCGAGTGTTTTATCCAATTCAGAACTGTATACATTAGGGAAGCTGTGAATGCATTAGAGAGGGTGCAGCAAAGATTGACGAGAATGGTTCCAAGGACTTTAGTTAATGAGAGAATATGAAAAGCTGCAGTTGTAGAGCAGAGGTAGTTGACAAGAGATTTGCTAGAGGCATGCAAAATTATGTATGATAAAGACTGAATAAATAGAAGGAAATTTTCCATTGGCAGAAAAGTCAAAAACCAGGGGATACAGA